TGTTTAGATAAGGTTACAGCCTGCATTCAATTACTCAACACTTCTGATTACAATCAGAAAATATATGAATTATGATTTGCAATAGTTCTGTCTTATGTAAGTGATTTTCTTATCAAATTAAAAGTGGATGAGTCTGAAGGGTAACAAGCCTTTTGGATAGGATTATGGCTTGCATTTAATTACCTAACACTTCTGATTATAGTCAAAAGATATATGAATTATAGTTTATAGTAGTTTCATTTTATGTGAGTAGTTTTTTTAATTGGAAGTAGATAGATCTAAAAGATGACAAACCCTTTAAATACGTTATAGTTTATGATCAATCACCTAGTATTTTTGATTATAATCAAGAGGTATATAAATTATAGTTCACAATAGTTTTGTCTTATATGAGTAGTTTTCTTATTTAATTGAAAGTGGATAGATTTAAAAGATAATAAGCCCTTTAGATAGTTTACAACCTATATTTAATTATCCAGCACTCCTGAGTGTAGTCAAAAAATGTATAAATTATAGTTTATAATAGTTCTATTCTTACAATTTATAGTTATATAAATTGTAATTTGTAGTGGCTTAATATTTGATTATTTTAGCTTTTATTAACTTAAATATATTATTAATAGTAGAAAAAAAATTACTGTTAATTATAAAATTTTAAGAAAATACTATATGGTACATTTCACTTATACTCAAAAATAAAATTACATAATTAAATTTGTAAATAACTTTTTAAATATATAATTTATAAAAAAATAAAACTAATAAAATGAAAGTTTATAATTTTATTATAAATTTTTGTAGCTATTAGCATTTAAGTTTAGAGCATTTATATAGAAATTAACATAATTTTAAACTATCAATTTCTATAAATTATCATAATTTTCCATTGCATTTAATAAGTTACATAAAGAAAGATTATTTAAATTAATTTTCTTATACCCTTCTTTTCAAAAAAAAGCGTCTTCATAAAAATCAGTTTTGCAAAAATAATGAAAGATTCAGAAAGTCTAAAAACTTTAAAGAAAATTTTGATACTGAAGAGAATTTTGGATTTGAAGAGAAACCTGGAGTTGAAAAAATAGCTGGTAAGTGAGAAAATAAAGAAGATAGTGGCTAGGAAGATAAAAATTGAGTGAATGAAGAAACTTTATAATATAGGCAGAAAATTTCAATAAATTTAGTTTAGAAGAACAATGCAATATTAAATAAATAAAAACGTGATCCTTATCTTATTAGGCTAATGAAAAAGTCTATATATTATGATAAGTGGGTCTAATAGTACTTATACTGTTACTATAAGTAACATAAAAAACATAACTAGATATTTTTTTCTACAAAGGATTCTAATAATAATACTTTTTCAGATACAGCCGATAAAGTTTTAGAATTTTTAAATAATACAGAAGGCGATCAAAATTATCCAGCCACTATTTAAATATAAAAATTTTATATGTATTATATATTAAAAATTAAAATTTAAGATAAATATATTTATCTTATCTTTATTTATTAATTTTTACATAAAAAAATTAAATTATTAATAATTAATACTATTTCCATTTGCGGCAATAACTGCCTCAATTCTTTGAGACATACTTTGATCAATTTTTTGTAATATTCTAGCGGAAGATCCTTCTACACATTTTTAACATACTTTTCAAATTCTCAGATGTTAGATAGTGGTGGGATATGATGATGAACCATTACTTTTATTTCTATTCAGAGGTTTTCGATCAGATTCAGATCAGAACTTTGTACAAGCCAATCTATTTTTACAATTTTAGCATTTTCGCAGGCAGAAACAGCAACTTTTGAATGATGTGGTAGAGCATTATTCTCCTGAAAAATTCTATTACCTTGTGGAAAATACTTATTCAAAGTAGATACAACATATTTATTAATAACTTTAGCATGTATTTGACCAATAATTGAGCCTTTTAATAGAACAATTGGTTCAAGCCTATGCCAAGAAAAGTACTCCTAAAATATTCTACTAGGACTAATATTCTGCAAAATCAGATTAGATCAGATTTTATCCAAATCTGATCTGATCTAATTTTCATTTTTTAGGATCCGAATCTGATCTGAATCTGACAGATTCATTGAAATCCAGATCTAATCTGAATCTGACAAATCGAATCTTAAATTTGGATCTGACAGATTAGTTTAAGTTCAAATCTGATTCGATCTAAATCTAAAAGTATTATTGAAAAAATGAATTTTCAATTCTAAAAGAGATCTGAAAATGTTCTTTTCAATGAAAGAAACCTTTTTAGCTCTAAAAGAGTTCTGAAAAATCATTCCTTTTTATTAAAAGAAACCTTTTCAGCTTTAAAAGAGTTCTGAAAAGTTATTTCTTTTTAATGAAAGGAACTTTTTAGCTCTAAAAGAATTTTGAAAAGTCATTTCTTTTCATTAAAAAGAACCTTTTCAATTCTAAAAGAGTTTTGAAAAATCATTCCTTTTCATTAAAAGAATTTTTCAGCTCTAAGAGAATTCTGAAAAGTTATTTCTTTTCATTGAAAAGAACCTTTATGGCTCTAAAAGAGTTTAGAAAAATTGTTCCTTTTCAATGAAAGGGCTTTTCAGCTCTTAAAAAAATCTGAAAGTTTGTTTCTTTTCAATAAAAGGAACTTTTCAGCTCTAAAAGAGTTCTAAAAATTCGTTCTTTTTCAATGAAGAGAACTTTTCAGTTCTAAAAGAGTTCTGAAAATTCGTTTCTTTTCAATAAAGGAAACAAATTTTTGGCTCAAAAGAAGTCTAAAAATTCGTTCCTTTTCATTAAAAGGAACCTTTTCAGCTCTAAAAGAGTTCTGAAAAGTTATTCCTTTTCATTGAAAGGAATCTTTTTAACTTTAAAGAGTACTGAAAAGTTGTTCCTTTTCATTAAAAGAAACCTTTTCAGCTTTAAAAGAGTTCTGAAAAGTTATTTCTTTTCAATAAAAAGAACTTTTTAGCTTTAAAAGAGTTCTAAAAATTTGTTCCTATTCAATAAAAGGAACTTTTCAGTCTAAAAGAGATCTGAAAATTCATTTTTTTTCATTGAAAAGGAATTTTTCAGCTTTAAAAAAGTTGAATTCAGATCTGACAGATCAGATCTGAATTTAAATCTGAATCTGATAGATCAGATCTGATCCAAATCTAAATTCAAATTCAAATTAGATCTGAATCTGACGGATTTAATCTAAATCTAATCCGTCAGATTCAGATTAGATTCAGATCAATCTGAATTTGTGTAGAACACTAACTAGAACTATGTTTTACAGTAACTGCAATACAGTCTGAGTTTAATTCTTCTCTAAGTTCACACTATACTTTTCCTTAACAATCTTGTTAAAATTGTGTAAAAGTACTTTCATTTGAAAAAAATACTCTTTTCCATTTTTTTTCTCCCTAATTTTTGTGTATATGAGCCCATTTGAGATGAACCTGATGATATACTTCTGTCATTACAGGTTTTTTATGAGATATATAAAATGTAAATCTAACTTTCTTAAGATTCCAGTGTATAGTAACAGCAGAAATAGGCTGTTTTGTATGAGTTGTCCAAACTGTTGCAAGCTTTTTTGAATAAAGTCGATGATTTTTACCATTTTTTTGAACAAAGGCTTTAAGTTCTTGTTGGCTGGTGAATTAAAAATTGGTAAATGATCAGTTTATTTTTTTGGAGTTAAAGAATGTATTTCATGAAGGTATTTAAGAATATCATTAATAGTTATTTTCTTACCCCCAATCGTTTAGCTATTGTACAACTTGATTGTTCACAATTATAGCTATAAATGATTGTACTACAAGTTTTTGGGGTAAGTGATTTCATATTTTCAAAAAATTTTGAGAAAAAATGAAGTGCAAGGGTTTGTTTATTATAACGGTAAATGCAAAATTATGTATTATTTATATTATATTAACACGTGATGATTGGCATAATTTTGGTCAAACAAACTGATCAGATAATTTTGATTGCCTTCTGTAGAAATAAAGAAGATGGTTGGATATTTGAAAATGCTTTACAAAAAGTTATAACATTAAAAATCGAATTAAAAAAATCTCATAAGAAAATGTATATTATAGAATACAATAAAAAAGAGCAATCTTTAAATATTTTCAAAGATTATATGAAAATGGTAAAGGGAAAATAGATGCAAGTATAGAAACTACTAAAATAGTATTTATTAATGCTAGTTCCTATAAAGCAATAATAATCTGTAAATAGGTGGTATATTGGTTAAAAACTGGTCATCTTCTTCCTATTTATCATGAAAAATATCAAAAGACAGTGCAATTAATTGATATGAGAACATAGCTAATAGGTGTAAAGTTTGATTTTGAATATAAGGTAGTGGAGTTACTCCAAAAACTTTTAAAAACTTTGTTAAAAATACACTCCTTATTAAAATGAGTATTACTAAAAAAAATCTATTTCATCTATAACGGCTACTTAATGGCTTAATATTCTTGAATTTTTTTATCAATAATATTATCAAAATATATATTATAATAGATATGAATATGAAGATATAATAATTTATTAAGAAGAATTTCTTAAAACAATTTCTTATTATGAAACCTTTATGACAAAATATAATGGAAGTGATATGAAGTGTGTTCCTCCTAAATTAAAAGATGGTGAAAAAGAACATATTCTAATCACTCATAATAAATGTATTTTTTATGCTAATAATGGCAAAAGAGGAGTTTAAGCTCTGAATGGTGAATTACTATTATGAAAAAAGGGAATAAAAGGTCAATTATGATTAGTGAATTTCTTTCTAAAATTTGTGAACGTTTGTGTTTAAGTCAAGAAGATATATTAAACTATCCAACTGTA